GATGGCTCGAACTCATCAAGGATTATGACTGCACGATTGATTATAATCCAGGTAAAGCCAATGTGGCTGCCGATGCCTTAAGTCGAAAATCTTTCGCAAGCATTTCCTTGAGTCCTTTACCCTTGCTTCTTGAGCTAAGAGCCAGGAATGTTTGTTTTACACCTGATTCAAATGGTTCAGTTATTGCTAATTTGCAAGTAAAACTAATATTACTTGAGCAGGTGAAGGAAGCACAAATGATAGATGAGAAACTTGTAAAATTGACCAGAGAATTTCAAAATGGGGGAAAACTTGATTTTACATTAACAGATGATGGTGTTTTATTTTATCAGAACAGGTTATTCATCCCTAATGATGACAACTTGAGGAGAAAAATACTGAATGAAGAACATACTTCACCATATGCAATGCATCCTGGAGGTACAAAGATGTACCAGACCATCAAAGAACATTATTGATGGAATGGTATGAAGAGAGACATTGCGGAGTTCATTTCCAAATGTTTGGTTTGTCAACAAGTAAAGGCAGAACATCAGGTCCCAGTTGGTTTACTACAGCCCTTGTCGATGCCAGAATGGAAATGGGAGAGACTAACTATGGACTTTGTTTCTGGACTTTCTCGCACCCAAAGAAATCATGATGCAATATGGGTGATTGTGGACAGGCTAACCAAGAGTGCTCACTTCTTAGCAATAAGGATGGATTACTCACTTGAGCGTTTAGCCGAATTGTACATTAATGAGATTGTAAGACTACATGGGATCCCTATATCTATTGTATCTGACCGAGACCCAAGGTTTACATCCAAATTTTGGGGTAGCTTGCAGGAAGCTTTGGGTACTAAGATGAAATTTAGCACCTCGTTCCATCCTCAAACAGACGGCCAGTCGAAAAAAGTGATACAAATTTTGGAGGATATGCTTCGAGTTTGCATTATGGAGTTTGAGGGTAGTTGGGACAAACACTTAGCTTTGATAGAATTTGCTTATAATAATAACTACCAATTGAGTATTGGAATGCCTCCATATGAATCCCTATATGGAAGAAAATGTCGGACCTCTCTTTGTTGGAGTGAAGTTGGTGAAAGAAAGCTTGTTGGTCCTGAAATTGTGCAACAAACAGGGGACAAGGTAAAAATTATCAAGGATCGTCTAAAGGTTTCTTCGGATAGACAAAAGTCGTACGCTGATCTTAAAAGGCGTGACATTGAATACCAAGTGGGAGATAAAGTATTTTTAAAGGTGTCTCCATGAAAAAAGATTATGAGATTTGGCCAAAAAGGAAAACTTAGTCCCTGATTTATTGGACCTTATGAGATACTTGAAAAGGTTGGACTAGTTTCATATAAATTAGCTTTGCCACCGAAGTTAGAGAAGATCCACAATGTCTTTCATGTTTCTATGCTCAGAAGATACCGTTCTGATCCATCGCATGTTCTTTCGGTTGAATCTATTGAGATTAATTCTGACTTGACTTATAATGAAGAACCTATCCGAATTAAAGCTCGAGAAGTAAAACAACTTAGAAACAAGAGAATCCTCTTAGTAAAGGTACTTTGGAGGAACCATTCTGGAAAAGAAGCTATCTGGGAAAGAGAAGAAGACACGAGGACCCAGTATCCACACTAGTTCCGGGATAAGTGTAAGGTAAATTTCGAGACTAATTTTCTTTAAGGGGGAGAGAGTTGTAACACCCCTAAATATTAACCAAGAGTCGCATGTCGATTTACCGTTGCTTAATTACTACAATATGTTTTACTCTTATTTTGGGAACATAAAATGTTGTGATAATTGCTAACTTGCTTAACATAAATTGTGATCATAATTTAAGGTACTGTATTGGGGTATTTCCGTAATATTCTAATTAGAATTATGTATAACTTTAAAAGGAGGTGAGGGATATATATATAAGTGTGTATGTATGCATTTTGGGCAGCACACAACTATTTGGGCAGCCACCTTTTGGAGACAGTTGTGCATTGTGATAAACATCACTTGTGAGACTATATTTTGACACCTCTTCTAGTCAAATTTGTCTCACCTGAAGTATAAGAACCTTAGAACATTATCTAGCAAGTTGTTCTTCAAAATCACAAGAGAAAAACTTAGCCCTTTTGGCTGGAATTCGAGAACACACATCTTTTTGGTAAGTGACGAAATCTGTTTCTGAGCTGGGTAGTGTTTGGTATTTTATAGATAGCTCTTTCTATAGAACTTAGTTTACAGTGAATAAATATGATTTGGAAAGCTAATTCGAACACCTACGACTCTTATGTTTATGTAAAACTCTAATTTAGTTGTTATGGATTCGAAATATGGGACGCAACATAGGACGAGTTTTGTCCAGATTTCGAAATTAGTAATCCTGTATGGACAACTGTTAGTGTTTTGAATATATCTTTTTATACAAAATATATTTTGCGTTGATTCTTATTTGTTTGCAACCCTAAGAGATTTATCTACATCTTTCATGAAAGTTATAAAGTCTAGTTTTGATGTTTTCCTTTCCAAATCTAAGTTGCGACATGAGGTACTAGGCTGGTCAGAATTACTGTTTTGGGAGCATAGTCGTTTTTGTACCGGCTAAGCTTACTTGTGATGATAATTATGTTTTACATCAACATTATTGAGCTTCTAGGAATTAAAGAATTTATTTAATTGTATTTTTAAGGTTTTATATACTCGTGAACAAGTTGAGGACCTTAATACGTTAGTTGGTTTACGGTTTGAACTCGTGAAGTTGTGTTGGACTGTTTCTATGCTAAAGCACTGAGGTTTGTGTATAAACTTTTACTTGCACTCTTTTAACTGCTGGTATATCTTAAAGTTGATCTTGGTACCTTGGTTACCTCTTATCACTTTGCATTGTCGTGTTGGTATCCTTTAAGATGTTAAAGACGCTTGTGTCACCCACTTGTACGGATTGTTTGATCACTTGGTACTCTTGTTGGGACCTTGTCCTTCTTGTGGCTGTGACTTTGTCACTATTGGCATGCCTCTTGATTCAGATCATTTGCCATCTTGACTCTGGATTTTTAGTCCGTCTTAAGAATGGAAGTTGTCCATTTTAAGTACAAACTAGAAAGCCATTTTTAATATGATTCTTGGTTCTCTTGATTATTGGGCTTTGACCCTTCTTGATACAGGGTGTCAACCCTTCTTGATACATGCTTGTGCTTGGTGTGGCGACATGATGTATATATTGGGCAAGCCTTGTTATTGAATATCTTGGAAACTGGTGCTATGAGCGTTTTTGACATTTGGATCTTTAAATATCGAACTTGATACTCTTATTATATTATTTACTCGATTTAATTATTATGTTTTAATGGTGCTGCCCATGGCTTGAGATAGTTAACTTGGTCAATCTGATGGCTCCGAACCTATAGTTTTTACACCTCTAAGCTATATGTTTAGAGATATTGTTTCTATCGTAGGGAATGATTGAGTGGATGCGTGAAGCGGGCCATTGGAGATGAAGATTTTGAGAGCTTTAAGGAAGATCACATTTGCATATAGACATCTATATTTTGTATAAACCTTGGGAGTTGTACATGATCTATGTGTTGTATATTTACATGAAATTTTGAGTATAGCTCTATGTTTTGTAATATAAGTATGACTCTATGTTTTGTTCTTTTGGGGTGTGTAAGCCCAAGTCTTGTTATGTATTAAATTTACCGCTAATTTTGAATGATTGTGTGAAGCATGAACGACCTAGTTTGGGTACTCGGCAGTTGGTAATATTCTTTTTATGTCATTTTTACTAGTGTGAGGACAATATATGCACAAAACTCTCGTGAGTTATTGGCTTATATTATTTCGGAAGGGTCGTTACAGTATAAGTTTCTGCGGACCATAAAATTCATATTCAATTTTAAGGCTCAAAAGTTCATTCCGCTGTAACAATCAAATCTACACAAATTTGTACCAAGTATTGTTTAATTCTTACACAAATACTAGATTTGACTTTTGAGTATGATGTTATCTAAAAGAATAGTCTTTAAAGATTATACTAGCATTACTTTTAAAAAGAAAAATGGAAAAGGGTCAAAATTTCCTGAACTATGTGAAATAGATTACTTATATCCTCTATTATATTTTAGGATAAAAAATGTCTCTGCCTTTATCTCAAGAGATCACAAATATTCTCAAGAGTTAACAACCCAAATTTTTATCGACTTGACAAGCCACGTAGAACTAACCCACCCATCCACCAAAGCGTTCCTAACTAGAATTCACTACAAAAAATTGGATCTTTAGCAGTGACATAAGTCACCACAAAATTCCAAAATATCGCTACTAAATATTTTCATTAATTTTTATCATTAGATTATAAAAATGATTTTATATTTTTTTCTTTATAACAGGGATATTATTTTTAAAAAATCACAAATAACGTCGACTGAGGAGGTATTTGAAGATACTATTTGTTTTATTTTTATGTCATATTTAAATACATAAAATGTACAATAAAACATTGAGTTGAGGAGTAACTTTAGTGCTTTTTGTAATAATATTATTGTAGATCTATATTAATTTTAGAGTTGACCTAGGTCATAACCAAAAATTAGTTGCCATATTTTTTAATGGAAAAAAGGACCAATATACCCCAAATTATCGTAAATGATATGCAGATACCCTCCGTCATACTTTTGGGACATTGATGCCCCTGCCGTCCAAAAGCTAGAGCATATATGCCCTTTACTCTAACGGAAGACTAAATAAGGACACGTGGCGCAATCCTATTCGTCGATAAATGTCGAATCGGTGGATAAGACTATGACACGTGTATGCCCGTTAGTATAAAGGGTATATATGCTCTAGTTTTTGGATGACAGGGACACCAATGTCTCAAAAGTATGACGGAGGGTATTTGTATACCATTTACGATAGTTCAGGGGTATATTTGTCATTTTTCCCTTTTTTAATTGAAAAAATAGGTTTTAATGGCAACTTTTTTGATCGCAAAATATAAGCGAGGATAAAAGAAAAAGAGTGAAAATTTCGAAACTTTGCATCAGAAATCAGAGAAAGGAGAAGAAAACACGAAAGATGTGCGGAGATGTTGGTTCCGCAAGGAAGATGAGGAATCCATAAAGTAAGCAGGAGAAAGGGTTGGAGAAGAAAATGGAGAAATCAATGGAAGGATCGGTTGCCGCGCCGATTATATTCCTTATCGTCGTCGCCGTTCAGTACCTTTCCCGTTATGTCGAACTCAATACCAGTGTATTTTCTCCATTTCCCACCTCTTATCAAAAATTTATATTAACTTCACAATGTGTATGATATTTGGATTCATGTACCTCTGTGTTTTATTTCTCATCCGATACGTTGTTGATTTTGTCACCTCATTTATGTGTTTGTGAGAGAGAAACTTTGTACGTACACATATACAACAATTTATACTTGCATATCATATCCAGACAGAGGCGGACCTATGTGTGTAACTTTGGGAAAAATTATGTATATATGTGTATATTTAGCTTGAGATATGAGATATATTTCATTAGGCACTTTAAAAACACTAAAACTAATTGGTGTAGTGGTTTAAACCATGCGCCCCTCCTAGATGAATATATGGCTAAAATATGTGGCATGTGAACCCGTGGTCTCTCTGAGAAACTAGATATTTTATGTTTATATTTTCTAAAATTGATATAAATAATCTGTTGGCAGTCATGCTACAAGTAAGCTAAATGTTGCACTTGGTTGAATGTTGAGTTATTTATCTATACTACCAATATATATATATATATATATATATATATACACGTATACACACACACAACCGATTGCTTACTATTGATCTTCTCTGTTATTTTAATAATCCATTTGTCAAGAGTTTAACACAAATGAAGTCATATTGTTTGTAGGTCAAAGTTTTTTTTTCTTCCTGTTCAGATAAATCACAAATCTTCTAATCTTTTTTCTTAAGCAATTAATTGTTTTGTTTTGCTATTGTCTTAACTCTAATATAACAGTCTTTGTTGTCAGAGAGTTGCTGTAAATGCTGCAGAGTTGAAGTTGCGTGCAGAAATTAAGCAGCTGCAGAAGGAAGCGAATGCCATGTCACAGTAAGTGATTCCAATTGTTCAAGTAACTAATCTTTATGTGATCTTGTATAGAAATTCAACAAGAGTTCTGCACATGAGTGTTATATTTTCTCTATCTGTTAAAGCTCTCTTGATCTATATTTATCTTTGATAATTTCTCTATCAATATGACAAGTTACATCCTTCTAGATATCCTCAGTCACATTCTATATGCTTTAATTTTACTCGAGGTAGAGTTTAAGATGTCAATTTGACTTTTACCTCACCTGATCAAAACAATATATTAGTTTTGACTTATATTATAACAATGATAGTGGATTAGAGTGTTAGAGTAAGTTTGATAGAGAAAATCATGTATCAAAGTTTAAAAACTTGAATAATTTAATGAATCTGAATTCTTGAAGGTTGCAAAAATTGTAATTAAATGAAACTATCTCTAACATTTTTGAATGTTACAACACCAGAAGGGTGTCATATTGGAGAGGGTGGTGTATTATTTATCTTCATATCATACGGAATGGAAAACTATATATTGATAGTTAATGGTAGATGGTGAAAACAAAAGTTGCTGTTTTTAAGTAGACACATGATATCAATAATTTCCCTGTTATGCTGTATAAAACTTATGATGTGTCTTAGGAAATGTTCAGGTTTCCAACCAAAATACTTGTATTTCTTCTGTTCCTTCTGGGATTTTAGTTAAGAAAGTGAGAGTTGTCATAGGCTGGTAATTCACTTTGTAGGTGATAATAATTTTGTACAGTATATATGATATGTAAAAGCTTATGTTGTTTTCATATTGATTTCAGGCCTTCAACATTTGCACAAGCTGCCAAACTAAGGAGGACGGCAGCAGCCAAGGAGCAGGAGCTTGCAAAAAGTATGGTATATACTACCATACTAAGAATAGATACTATTGTTTATCCATAATTCTTATAGACTTGATTTATGGGAATGCTTCTACATAGGGTCGTAATTCTCCATCAAAGTATAGTTGGACAAGTAAAATAGCATGTAGAAAGAAACTTAGGGTACTCATAGTAGAAAACACTAGAAATGGCAGTCAGAGTCCCGAATTCTCTTTTTTGTCTGGTGTACTTGGGCTACCATAGAAAGCAAGCTAATAGAAGAATGCTTGGAGATACTTCTATCAAATTTAGCTACGCCAGTACTAATTAGTCTTGTACCAATATTCCTAAAGTATATGGGTGGTGAAACAACCAAACAGAGATGTCTTTAAGAGCAAAACATCCGTCTTTTTAGGTTCAGAAATAAAGGAACAAGGTTTGGTGTGCTAACAGTTTTACTTCAACATCTTATCTTTTTTCGAACTGACCCATGATATCCTCTCAGCACATCACAATTAGCGTGCACGCATCCAGCAAATTGCTTCCTAATTTTCTGGAGGACTTGGGGGACAGGGTGTTAGAATGTATGCGTCCACCAGTGATGACTGGACCAGGTCCCTAGACAGAATAATAGTGCGGAAAATAAATAACTCAAAGTAGATCAGGCACAAGGATTTTACGTGGAAACCCCCTTGCTCAAGGGAGGTGAAAACCACGACCTGTACTCACAGGATTTCAACCCAAACTCTTCAAAAGTTTTAGATTACAAATTCTTGCAACCTAGGAATTAAAACTCTTTAATCCCTTCCCCCTTATTGTAGCAACTCTACTACAAAGGAAACTAAGCAATAGCTCTATTGCCCACTAAACCAACTAACTCTAGTTGATCTAGACTTTAAGAACCCAACAAGGCTAACTCGAGCCACCAACTCAGATCTTGAAGATAAGAGCTAAACAAGCAGCAACTCTGCTGCACCCAAACATCAACTAACTCTAGTTGACACTCCTAAGCAACTCTACCCAAGAGAACATCAAAACAATAATGTAAAAAGGCTTGACTAAAACATAGATGATTCGACTAACTAAGTCTAGTTAATCCGACTCAACCTAAAGCCGCAACCGATCTACTATCCTTTATAACTTAGGAGTAGACTTATAATATAAGAACATAAGACACAAAGCTCAAAATACAATAAAGACGCTTCAACACTTCATCTGATCCCTTGTTGAGCATGAGAGTGTTCTTCCTTGAAGATGGCTTTTTCTTAGTGAGCTTATGAATTTTCAGAAATTCAAAACTTTGTTTGCCAAATCTTGGATTTGTGTTTGGAGAAAAGACTATTATCAATTGGACACAAACCCTTGGGACAAATTCATTGGTTGAGAGCTTGCTACTCTAAAAAGTCGTGCATCAACCATGTCAAATTTGAAAGCTTTTAGACACTTGTCTTTTGTCTTTCGTCAACCAGGTCCCTTGTTAGATCCGAAAGTTTGTTAAATCATCAAAACTTCAAATCAACTTAACATAACAATTTCCCCATTTTGATGATGACAAACTAATATCTAGCCACTTCAACTTTCGTCCCTTGGTTTCGTTCATTCCCTTTATCATCAGTCCCAATGCCAGAAGACTGAGTCTTTACTGGATCTGGTCCCTTGTTAGATCCTGAAGTTTGTTAAATCATCAAAACTTAACATCAGCTCCAAAATAACATAGGCGTTCTCAATGGCTGTCATAACAAATGGTCAGTTCCATTAACACGTGTTGTACCCCATGAATACTAAGCTAGGAATATTAAAGGGCCAAATACACCTGCCTGTTTTTAGGACTTAAAATTATTTGAGCGACTATCCTTTTAAGTAGCAAGTTTCCATAATTCTTTGATTATTGACACTTTTTTCCTGCCAGTTAGAGCATAAATAGTTAGAAACCAAGTCTACTATCCTTCTTATGGTTAAAAACTAATGACAGCTTGGTGTGATTTTCTATTAAGACCTATGTTGTTCGAACTCTTCAAAAATGTTGACGGGTGTGTGTAGGATCCTCCAAAGCTAGTGTATTGTTGGAGGATCCTACACGGGTGCGGCAATATTTCTGGAGAGTCTAAGTAACATAGATTAAGACGATTTATGATTTTTTTTAGGAAGATGTAGAAAGATCTCCACATGATAATCATTCACTTAGGAGGAGCAATGATTGAGTACCAAAAAAGCTAATGGTGGTGGTTTGAGAAGAAAGTAATTCATATCAAAATATAAATGGAACAAAAGATATGTGCACATGAGTGGTTGCTAGTGTAAAAACAGTCAGAAAATGTAGACGAGTATCTCATGTATTGAAAAAGAACTAACCAATAATATACACATATGATGCATGCTATTTACAAATTTGATTTTGTTTATTGATGAAAGTAGTGAAGGAGTCAACAAGAAAGTTCGAACTGAAGCTAGGTAATCTAGAGAATAAGGGTATTAGGATGTGTAGAAGTAAAACTGCATCTGTGTGCTGCAAGTTACATCCCTCATAAGAAGAACAAAGGTGATCTGAGATTAAATGGGATTGTGGCACCTATGTGCAGACAAATTCAATCTTGATTCAGATTCCTAGAAGAATGGTAGGATAGATGCCGATATGACACATTGAATCCATGCAGACTTAGCAAAGAGAAGAACTTAATGGATGCATAAGAACCAAATTGGTGGCACTCTTGTAAGTTGAGAGTATAGATTAGTCATGTTGGCAGTTGGTATACTTACATTTCATCTCATTTTTGCCAAAAGTATTCTAGTTGACTTTTTGATTTGTACATCAGTGAAAGAATAAAGAGATCCTCTAGTATTAGAAAGCCCTTAAATTTGTCGTAAAAATAAATTATTGAGTACATGATTCTCAGATGGGTATCAAGGCGAGGATTCATATACCTGTTTCAAATATTATGAGATTGAGGTGTATTTGGTGTTCCTGTTGTCGTTTACTCCTAATAACTACATTTAGTTCCATACAGATCAAGAAAAGCTCATGAAAGAGATGAAATCGTCATATGATAAAAACAGAAAGGCCCTAATGGTTGTAAAGGTAATGAATGTGAGCTTTGCTAGTCAAGACGTTGATAACCTTTGTTAAAATTGTAAAATACTTAATCAGCTACTGATCACACAGGTCTTGACTTACTTCTTGATGATTATCTGGTTTTGGCGTATCCCTGTAGCTTCCATACCTAAGCAGCTCCTGCAACCATTCGGTAATCTGTTATCCCTTAGTATTTTTGGTTTCTTGACACTGAGCGTCATTTTTTCAACTTTAGGACTTTTGTGATATATTCTAGTAATATTGATTTTATATTTCACTAATTAGCTGTGACATGCCTTTCAATGGGATAGACAGTAAATATATATATTTATTTCTTTCACCGCCATTGTGTGACTGTGTCACTGATCTGCTATAACTTTCCATGTTGCAGGTAGGATATTGTCTTGGCGATCTGGAGGTCCATCGAATGAAAATGTGATGGTAACTACTGTGAGGATTTAGCGTTGATTGGAATTTTCTTTTAAGGAAAACTGTGACTGTATGAACTAGTAATGAACTTAGGTCTTGAGTTTGAACCTTTGAAGGTTGGTGGGAGTACTCACTCAATTTCTGGGAAGGGTATAGTTGCTGATATCTTGAGACAAGTTTAAGACGTTAGGAAAAGATAATTTGGTTTTTGTTGGTGGTGTGCGCGGGGGTGGGGGGCTGCTTATTCTCTCGTATTTCCATCAGTCCTCATTTCCTATGAAATCCCAAGTTCAATTAGCTATGAGAATTCCTTGATCGATAATTTTGGTGTCCGTTCACTTACAAAAATGTGACTGAGAGTTTGAACATCTCAGTCTTGTTTACCATTTCTTACTTTCTGTGATTCATTTGTAACGATTATTATGTCAAATCTTGTCCTTCTTTAGTGGTGTGCCAAATCCAGTATTCGTGAATCATGTCACTTCCAAAAATGTCTTTTTATTGAAGAATGTTTGACAAACTCTGTGTATGCAACTGCAGGTGGGAGTCATTCCATGGTTAATATTGTCCACTAGAGTCAGCAAACTTATCTGCCGGAAAATATTCAAATAGGAGAGTAAGGCTCTAGATACACATCAATCGAAAAGAAGATGGCCAGTCTACTGATGTGTATTTATTTGATTGCAATTAATAGTCACATCGATCTGTAGATGAAATTTTGTCCTGAATGAGTCGAATAATACTGTATCATTTTTGACAAGATACATTAGTGTGAAGAGTAACTCGTAAACCTTTGTGTGGTAGTGCCAACAGTGTCATTGCCACAGAAAGCAAAGCTATACTCACTGTAGCTATAGAGGTGTGGAATCATGAATAGTAACTGAAATAAACATAGTTATAGGTAACCTTTTTTCTTTTTATCAATATATCCAGATCCAGGTGCCTTGTAAAACTTACAGTAGAAGCTATACTTTTGCTCAAGTGATTGATGAGATTTTATATGATGAAGAGAGATGATCTAAACACGATACAAATAAATGTAGAAAAATCATATGATAAAAAGTCAAGGAAGAACTTTTGATTGATGTTGGGGAGAAAAGTCATTCATACTACTAATTTATTTTTCGAAAAAAAAAACCAAACTGTCCCCAAATACTTGAATTGAAAGTCAATCCGTTGTCCTTTCTTTTTCTTTATTTTTTCAACCTTCAAAATAAAAAATATAATATAAACTTTAATGATAAATCCGTTTTATCCTTAAACTTTTAAATGGTCAAGATTTTATTTTTCTCATTCACCGTCTCTCGATTCTCCAAACCAATCTCTATTGATTTTCTTCACTCTTAAAAAAGCCATCATTAATCTAGACCACATGACACTCAAAGAAATAACAAACGAGATTCTATACAAACTTACACCATTCATTTTTATCATTCACCTTTTTATCTCCTCCAGAAGACCACTTAATATAAGCGCTACAAGCAATGCCTCTTGGATCAATTGGTAGTGTTTTGTGGCTTCTTCACACATGTCCTAACTGAGCATGACTAGAAGTAAAACAAACATTCTGCATGGATTTCATCGAATTTACTTAGTAGTGCTTTCCCCTGCCACAGTTTGTCGCAAAAGATTTAGGAGTTGAATAGTGTGTACTTGAGTGTTAAGACGTCGATAAATAGCTAGCTTTGACATCGCAATTGGTGATTTGAGAACGATTGATGATGAAATTGTTTCCATTTTCACAAAATGTCGTCCAACTTAATTTGATGGTACTATTTGAGTTCCATTAAAATTTAGTTGAGGTTTGAGGGTGGCTAATTTCAGCTAGAAAAAAAGGACCTATTTAATGGCTTAGTATTGAAGAATATTATTGCCAAATGATGACAATCTTGTTATTTGAAATTCAAGGGCAAATTTAAACTAGTTTATAGATTTTGCTGTTAGTAAAAAAATAATTCATATATTGAAAACTTTATATCTTAAGTCCATAAGGATAAATCAATCTAACACATCTTTTTAACAAGCGTAGATTTGACCATATGTATTTATAAAAAAGAAAACAATACTATTGTCAGATGATAACAATCTTGTTATTTGAAATTCAAGGGCAAATTTAAACTAGTTTATTTTTGCTGTTAGTAAAAAAAGAGTCCGTATTTTGAAAACTTTATATCTTAATTATTTTATAGGCACTAATAACGACGTCGTTTTGATTTAGCTGCCCTAAGTAATTTCTGCGTCTAAATAATGAGTATATAATCTCCTCATACAACAATTGAGAGCTTTCTGGGCCTTTTTGTTCGCTAGGGTTTCGGTGCAGATTTTGATTTTCGTTTCATCTGAATCGTCAGAGGGTTTCTGCTAACTTGCGGAGCTATGTACGGATCAAGAGGGTAAGTTTATCTTACTTGATTAATTCTTAATTCATTCTTCTCCTATCTATTCATGTGTGTTTACTTGTATTTCTTTTTCTATTTTGATGTTCGTTTTCTAATTCCGTTGGCGAATTTCGATGCTGCTTTGTGTTAGTTCCATGTAGTAACTAATAATTATTGAATCTTTTTCTAGTGTTGAAAGGGTTGATTTTGCCTTTAGATTGTAAAACAAACACTTTCTTTTGCTATATATGGGAGGGTGAATTCGATAGCATGGGGTTTCTGAGGGTTAGAACATGCCTGTTACTTCAAGATTATCCTTTGATTGTTTCAACACCATAACTTAAGGATAAATACCTTTTGGGGTGGCTCAGTGGTTTGGGCTTGGGACTTCCGTGTTGGAGGTCTCAAATTCGAAATCCCTTGCCAACGAAAGCAAGGAGTTTTCCTTTTGGGTCGAGCTCGTCGCACCGGGCTTGCCTAGTGCGTGGTTTGCGAGTTATTGCATAGGAGTTGGGGTTTTACCCTGTGCGCACCCAAAGGGTAGCGGCTGTGGGTTTCCCTAATCATAAAAAAAAAACACTTAAGGATAAATTACAGTTACATGTATCTATAACAGTTGTCCTATATAACAACACTTCATTATAACACCCAAGTTTTTTTCTTTTGGAACCAATTTCTCATGTTTTATGTTCTTTATAACAACATTTCGATATGGCATCCAAGAAATGTCCGTTATAGAGAGGTTTGCCTGTAGACCTTTTCAGTGTACACGACTACCATGTTTTTAGGGAGTTGTGGATTTCTGGCTCAAAAGTAAAGTTACTGATCTCTAGGAAGTTTTTACTAGCAATAAATTTGACCTGTACATTTGCTTTAGGATTGACTTATTGAGACTATCCTGGCTTGGAATGTTTAGGTGATTTCCCCCTTTTTTTTATATGATGGTAGGGAAACTTTTGGGTTGTGATTGTCTTTTTCAGCATGGTAAATGTCTTATCTAGCTCACTTTGTTTGTGTTGCTAGATATATTAAGAACTTATTGAAGGTAAAAAAATAACCCCTTTAAACTTGAGAAGTTTATGGTTCAGGTTTATGCTTAGGTATTGATTTATCGTGATGACTCCAATTTATGTGTTTTATTTTCTTGTAATTATGCTTGTTGGTTGGAAGCATGCATGAAATGTTGTGTTTTTGTTTGGAGAAAAGTAGTATATGAAACTAGGTTGTAGGAGAAAATATGGGCTGGGTTTGGTTTCTTATTAACAAGGTTGAGTGGGGGAATTGTTTTTTTTTTCTTTTCTGGGTATCAATAATGAAGGGCAATGTTGGGGAGCGGGGGGTTTTCAGACGGGTACGAGATCGGCTCAAAGAGACCAAGAATGATGGAATCAAATCCCTACTTCGCAGTGAACAGCAGTGCAAGTGGCTATCAGCAGGCTTTTGACTATGATAACAGATCTCCGCCTTCTGCCTTTCCTGTTGTTCGTTTAAGGGGTCTTCCATTTGATTGCACTGAAATTGACATTTACAAGTTCTTTGCTGGCCTGGACATTGTGGATATTTTTGTGGTCAACAAGGATGGTAGGTTCTCTGGAGAAGCATTTGTTGTCTTTGCTGGTCACATTCAAGTGGATTATGCTCTTCGGAGGGATAGGCAGAACATGGGGAGGAGATATGTAGAGGTTTTCAGTTGCAAGAAGCAAGATTATTACCAAGCTATAGCTGCTGAGGTGAAGGAAGGAGGTTATGAATCTGACTATCGTGCTTCCCCTCCACCTCGTCCAAAGAGGGCCCAGAACAAAGATCAAATGGAGTACACAGAGATATTGAAGATGCGCGGTCTCCCATACCGCTGTAAGAAATCTGATATTCTCAAGTTTTTTGGTAAGGAATTTAACCTTACAGATGACAAGATAAACATTACCTACCGCTCTGATGGAAAAGCTACTGGTGATGCTTATGTGGAGTTTGCATCGGCTGAGGAGGCAAAGGAAGCTATGTGCAAGGACAATATGGAGATTGGATCAAGGTACATCGAGCTATTTCCTTCATATCCAGATGAAGCAAGACAAGCTGGATCAAGATCACGACGATGATGGAGAAGATTTTCTAGTATGGAATTTTTCATTTTGGGTTTAGACGTTTGGTCCTGTTAAAGACTTTCTCACCCCGTTTCCTTACTATGTTTTCTACACAATATATATGAACCTGTGGAAGTTATCGGACTGTCCGTCTTGGATGTCTTAGTTGTGGTATTGGCCAACTCACTTTCAACTCTTGTGCCATCAATTGATTGTCTCTTTGTTCTGTAGTTTCGTTATGCTGAGTATTCTTGCTTTGCAAGTCAATTACTTACAAGTTTATATGCCTTCCTTTCTTTCTTTCTCCAATTTATTATATAGTTTGTTAGCCTTTCTGGTTTTGCTCAGAAGGGTTGGGAAGGTCCAGGTTACTATTTTCCTTGTCTGGGTACTTCTGTTTGTATGCTTATATTCCGTTTGCTCGTTTTCTTCCTAGTACACTTCTCCTTCTTTCTCTTTATTATGAGGTGTGAGGTCTTCGATTTCTACTTTTCAAGTGTCAATTATAGTAATTATGATGACTGATGTATAACAGAGAAATATATTTAGTGTTATGTTATAGTAATTATGATGACTGATGGATTAGAGAGAAAGATATTGAGTGTTCTGTTATCATAGGAGATTATTTATGCTATTATCATGGGGTGATTTAAATCTGTCTTGCTAGAGAGAAATGCTGAAGGGGATTCAGTAATTTCCAAGAGATGGAAACAAGTTTAAAGTGAATGGTATGTTTTAAAACTGCTTAATACAAAGTTAATCCCTTGAATTTGCTAGTAAATTTTATTGTGGCACTTGAATTTTAACTTGTTCATTGAACACATGATGAAGTGTTTCTATTAGACATTTTCAGTTCAAGTTGTGAATTTTTTGTGTGTGTGTTCTGAAGTGCACATTACGTCGATAAGTTATGTTACTTGACATATTGTTACCTTCTTTGGGTGCAGAATTAAATTGAAAGTGTATAATATGAACACTTTATCATGAAGTAAGTTATAGTTCAAATGATTAATTTTCAAATTAAAGAGGTTCTGTATGTGTTGAACCTTTTAAAAATGGTGTGATATGTTCATCTCATCTTTGGGTAAAAATGGTTAGTGGTTAGCCTCCTAGAATTTGATTACTATTGTATGTTTTACATTAGAATAAACTTTCCCTAAGAAATAAATCAGCTTGTAGCAGTTTTTATTGATGGTTTTTTCTAGGTACTAATTAATGCTTACTATTGAGAGTTGCATGACTTATGTTTTAAGTGATATAACTGCATCTTTCTTAATTATATGTACTTGCACTGTAACTACACAACACAATTTAATTTGATAAAACTGCCCATGGTTTGACCAAGCAACCGTTTTGGTGAATCTTCAATATGTGGCTCTTAGAGAATAAACCCTGTGGGCTAGGATCGTTTGGTACGTATATTTGATTTGAGGTATTAGCTAACTAAGATCTCACCATT